TAGAATAATGAATTTGTCTCTTACAACAATAGCATGCTTGTATAGTTTTTGTCGATTTGTGGCCTCAGTAATACGTCACGATACGAAGGTCATATCGAGATGAGGATAGTATTATTTGTCTATGGTTTCGTTTTGAAACCTAATTATGAGTGTGATAGAGTTTGTTTTTTCTCTCAACAAATAAGTTGCCGGTTCGTAATGGGCTCTGATAATAATCTTCATTCAATTGGACATCGGCTCTTCTGTACGTTAAACTTTAATGCATTCTTAGTAGTAAACTGAAAAGCATATAGATGTTAGATTTGTTGTAATCAACAGAATAGATTATAACTTAACTCAACTCTATTATTTATTTTCAAGATTTTCAAAATTAGGCTTTAACAATGGACTTATCGAATACGTGGAACAGAGCTTAATTTGATAGTGCTATCAACTCGGAAATCCTTAGCAAGCTTGATTACGGAGTTATAAAGCTTATTAAAATTTGTTAATTTAGGAAATACGCCGTTTGTTTTAAAGGTGCTTAATACTTAAAAGTATGGTCTAAATAATGAATTAGTTTTTTATGTAGCAAGACTGTTACTATTAAGGTTTACTTTCATTGTTATTTTTACGTCCATTGAAACTTCATTAAAATAAGTTCCTGCATAGCCCAGATTATTAGACAAAAGTTTAAATATCTAGTAATAAATCGTTAATAATGTTCACAAGTCACAAGACATTGTATAAGTATTTGGCTCGTCGGATTACGTATAAAAACACACGCACACAATCATGCCCAACTCGATAGAAGGTCAATTGTAATGATTAAAAATTAAACTACGATTAAATTGGACATTAAAATTAGAAATTCACATGATATTAAAAGTGCATAATTTCGTTAAAAATAAATTTAATAAGTGTGTATAGTAAGTAGCAGGTCTGTTGACAATTTTTTTTGCTGTGTAAGTTTTGTCGGAAAACAAAATTAAATTATTAACAAAGTTTTTTAATTTAAATCTGATCATAAATAAGAAAATCATTCGTGTTATATTTTTGTTATGATAAATATGACTAAAGATTAACACCATTTTTGCGTCGGCTCTGGTTTTCTGTACAAATAAATATTAGATAGTACATCTTAAGCTTTTAAAATAAATCACAAATATTATACAAAACCAAGAATTCTGTGAGAATTTAGTTAAAAATTGCAACATACTTTGATCATGTTTTAGAAAGGGAATTAGGAAGAAACAAGGTTGCAACAAAATTAATAAGGTCTAAAGGAAATTTCAGCAATATAATGAGTCTTAACGAATCATCTGAAGGCTTTATCAATACTGTTTAATGTATATCCGTGCTAATTTTTCATAGACATCGTCATAAAGTGATGTCTAAGGAGACAGAATAGTGATCGTACGACGCCATAAAAAATGAATAAAATTTACATTCATAAGAGTTAATTACATTTTTGACTTTATCAGTTTATTACATTATCTGCATTTTGAAGTCATAATTGTTTGCGATTTAATCTCGTAACAGTTCAATATTTCATCAATTTAGTTATTCCGGTATAATAGAAATTGGAAATCTATAAAGAAACTTGTCATTCATCTTAATCATTAAGTCATTAAAATTAATTATTTTTAAGAAATTTTAGATCATTTGTAATTGCGGGTCTTAGTTGCTTTCGAGCCATATGTAATTCGTGTGGCGTGTAAATAATTACATCGTGTATGCGGTTTTTTTTAATTACCCTTGTAGGCAGAACAGCATACGGCCCACCTGATGGTGAGGGGTTGCCGTTGCTCATAGACAATCAGAAATACCAACGGCACAGCCAAGACGCTGCCATTAGGCGGTTGCTGAAAAATGGTTCCGAATGATGCGAAGCGATCCGCAAGTAGGAATGTTGTTGACGGCGTGCTGAAGTTAGAAAACACAACCTGAATTAGAGAATACAAAACTCGAGATGCACCTGGTGTTTTCTAAGGGTTCATCACGGTGTTTCTGGCGGCGAAGAGAAGTTGGCACCTAACCATGTTAATTGATACACGCCTACTATGGTGCGATAGTTGCGAATTAATATAGATTTAAAAAAAATTGCTAGCGTCGCGTTGCCTTTTTAGAAGCGAAGATTATCGAGGGGTGTTCGAAATACAAAGCTATATTTTCTTTGAATCTGATTTTAATTCTTAGGGCTTTAAGGGGATTAATTGGATTCCAAAGAGGCGGCGTCATAAGCGTACAAACTCAAATTCAAAACTTTGTTCGATATAAGATGGCGCTTATCTAGTAATAGTGACCAAATCTTCTGTTTCAATGACGAGAAAAAAAACCCAAACTCAGGTCAATGACATTAAGTGACGAAGTAAATAACACAAAAAACAAAAACTTGCTTCATTTATCTCGAACATTATATTTATCTGTGTACTATAATATCACAAGTATTCAAGATATGTATTAGATACCGTTTGTTACGTTATTTTTATGATCTGTTTATATGCTATCAATATCTATGAACAGTTTGGTAAGCCGAACGAACCATAACTACCCAGTTAACGTAATCGTTTCGCGTGACCAACCGATATTGGCCGAGAACTTCCCTTATTCGAGTCGAGATTTATTGCTCTCATCAAACTGGAATAAGTTTTGACGGTTAACCGGCCGCATTGCTAGTTTTTCGTATTAAGTTGTGGCGGGTAGCCATCATACAAAGCAAGATAATTGACAGATGCCTGAATCTCGCTTACGACATTTTCAAGATAAAGCGCATATATACAAGTTCCGAACAACAACATTCGGACCGTCGGTCTACCGAGCAATATCATCCGCTCGGTGGAAGATCTTCCCTTTGTCGTTAATCAGCTCCAAAATGTTTTACGGATCAGGAATAACACATTTTTTAATGCATCATCAAACAAATAAACTACGAAAATCAATCAATCGAAAAACCTGAGGTGCGCGACAAGAAGGGCCCAGTTCCGTTGAAATTCTGTAAAATAAGTTTCTACTGGTGCTGGCCGCAGTTTTTAAAATCCGCATTTCGGAAACGTAAAAATTCTTAACCAATCTATATCTATTCTTTGCGACAGTGCTATGTAATATTTAAATGCTAAATTTAGACAATTGGGCTACGGTCATTCCATTAATATCTAAAAAAAATGCAAAAAAAAAAACTGGAACCAGTAAGGCACAGTAATCTGGCCCAAAATTACGATTTCCTGTGTTATAGGAACCACAGACTAATATGTATATATACGTTTAAACATATAGATAGATAATAATCACCCAGGCAAAAAGAAAATGAGCTCACGGCCTACCTGATTTTTAGTGGTTACCTGAGCCTTTAGACATCACACGTGAATACTTCACCTTTAAAAATGAGGACGAAATCTCACCATCGTATTATAGCGCTGTCCCACTCTTCAAACCGATTTACGGTCTTTACGGTCAATATACTAGGTTGGTAGGTACTTACCTGAGGAGATTCACAAGACACCCTACCACGAAAGTAAGTTTCTTGGTTTATAACGCTTTCACGTCTCAACAACTCAATCGGTGATCGTGCCATTTCAATGTTGTTAGGTGTACAGAAAAATACATAAGAAGTCGCGGTTCAAAGCTGGCAATCTAATAATACTCGTACTATATAGTTAATTTGTTAAAAATTCACAGTTTGTTACAATTGGTTAACACTTGGTTTTGGAAGAAAATAACTGAAATACACTATATATACACTTGATGATATTTTAATATTTAAAAACTTGCCATAAGCAGTGCTACTGTTTCGGTTTTTTTTGTTCTAAGTAATAAAATATTAGTGCGCAAGTTTATACTTTAACTATTGGTCGCCCAGGCATCGTCCGGGTGAATCGGGAAATCGTGCTAAAATTTCATTACAGTTCAAGATTATGCTTCATTTAAAAATGACGAATTTTTAACACCTAAGTCAGATTGTTTCAGTGTAGCACTGCTCTTGATAGGGCTAACTAGTGGCTAGTGTTAGCAATTCTCTCAGATTGAGTCCGTATGTCTACCTACCGGTCCGCACAAAGTGGAATAGCCTCTTAAGACTATTAACGATTAGGTATTAGATTAGGTAGGGAAAAAAAGATGGTGAAATACATTGTTATTTTATATTATACCAGAAAGACGTCACTGCGAACTTAATGTGATGAGACGGCTACCAATTTTGTTGATAAGTGAAACGACGGGATCCTAATCACTTAATTGATCGCCTTATCCAATTTTGATACCATTATTATTAACAGGGAACTGTGTAATACGACGTACATTTTTCGTTCTCCTGGTAAGATTAATTTTCCGAATGTTGACCGCGCCTTTGTCACACCCTGTATACGAATTCTGCTAATTAATAGTGTTACTGTCGATCGACGTAGTTAGGTGTCTTGTCCTATATTGACGGACTCTAACGCACTGAAGTGAATTTTGGTAATTCTATGTCAGGATGTTTTGATTTTTTTTCCCAAAGTACCATCTTATCACTTAAGTCTTGGTCATCATTCCCGTGTTTATTCGTATCATTATCATATCCAAAAATATAAGTTTTACGCAAACATTATCGTTGGTTAATATTTAATTTAAGTAGATGGGCATTAGTCTATCGTTTATTCAGTTTATTTTATCCCTTCCACCTCCATGATGATATATTGTTCCATCGATGCGTGAATCGAAACATAAAACTCAACCTTGTTAGGAACAACTGTGTTTATCTTCGTAACATGATTAACTGTTAAACTCTACCTACATGACACGACCCTTCGAACATTGACAAATTGGTTTTTGTATAATTTACGTTATAGAATATGTAAAATAATGATTCCGTCCATTTATAATACATTCAAAACGTTATATAAAAATGAGTGTTCTATGTTGTAGTCTGTATCTATATTTTATGTTAGGGAAAATAATTGGCTAGCTAAATTATCTAGTTGATTTTTAAGTTGAATTTGAGTTGAACTTTCAACTTAAAAATAACAAATGGTTGTCGTTTCCAGATTTTCACCCCAATGGCCCAAAAATAACTCCATGTAAGAGTGAATTTATATTGCACAAGGGACAAAATTTTTCACTCACATGCAGAGGAAAAAATCCGCTTGAATTCAAACAACAAGAAACACCGGAAGAATTACCTAAAAACAAACCAATAAAAACGATGAGACAGACATCCGATTCCGAGTACCCTTTTGAGACAATTATAAACATATATAACGTCGACGAATACGCTATAGGCTATTATGCATGTTTTGATGATGTAAAAACAAACTTTACCTTAAATAATCTCATAGAAGAGCCGAGAAACACTGAGAACGCTTCTTTTATTTACATTTACGTTGAGGGTGAGAAAATAGTTTTATTACAAAAATTATCAATTAATGTGAAAAGTTAAATTTCAATGATCCAATGAATATTTTAGGATCAGATAGTCTGATTGCACCGATGAGAGAAATTGTTGTACCAAGAGACTGTTCTAAGATTGTAATAGAATGTAGACCGACAACACCAGACGTCAATGTCACACTTTCATCGGTATGTATGGATAAATTTTGCAGAAGTCATAATGTGTAAAATCTGTCCGTGACAAAAGAAAAACCAATCCTGTAAATTCATATCAGGAAATATCAAACGGGTGTTACTACAAGAACTCATTTAGTAATTAATTGCTTTGCGTTTTTGCTTTCTCTTTGCATATAATAATTCAATGATAATGCAAAAACTCTTGAGTAGAATGCATGTGAAGTAAATAATACCGCTTGTTGCTGATTGAGTCATTAAAGCATGATAATAATAAATACTTTTCAAATCATGGTGTAATATTTAACAACATTTTAATATTCAGGAAATTCCAGACTATTACTACCCGTCATTTCGATACAGTCCAAAAATTGGTTTTGTACCTGAAAACTCTATGCCCTCAGATGATCAAATCATTAGCTTTGTACTATGCGAATTTGTAAGAGGAGAAACACGGATTGAGAAATATATTTATGTTTCAAAACGTAGGTGAATAGATGCTGTTTGATCCAATCAAAATTATTAGTCACATTCACGAGAAAATAATTTAAAAGTGTTTTTTAAATAGTCGATTTATTTACTCTACGTAATTTAAACATTACTTCTTTTTCTCGTGATGGTGGCATGAATGTTTTTCATTTTTATGATTATTTACGCATCAAAACGACAAACAGTTAGGACAATTAAAAATCATAAAATAGGAAAACATTATACTTACTTCTACGAAATATCAACTAACCACATCTATATTATTTATTGGAAATAATCACTAGCCTACGAGTAGAGAGAATCAAGAATCCATAAAATACTATCCAAAGATTGGATTTGTAATGAGTTCGTGTGGTAGGTCTGGTTTCAATTGCACCGGACAACGTGGAAATCAATCTAAGTGGAAACTCATACGTAGTAAGTAGCGCTACTATCTTGATGTCACCTAACAGGTAGCGAGATGTAATGGTTTTATTCACTGGAATGGTTTAAGTTATCCGTGTTCTGTGTATTACTAGCTTACAGCTTGACTACTTCCTAAATCCTATACTTTTTTTGGTTTCTACATCTGTGTGGTTATTTTGCATGTCAACGTCTGTATATACACTAACAAATTAACACTGCTATACTTCTTTATATTTAAGTTTAGTTTTCTACATNAGGTAGCGAGATGTAATGGTTTTATTCACTGGAATGGTTTAAGTTATCCGTGTTCTGTGTATTACTAGCTTACAGCTTGACTACTTCCTAAATCCTATACTTTTTTTGGTTTCTACATCTGTGTGGTTATTTTGCATGTCAACGTCTGTATATACACTAACAAATTAACACTGCTATACTTCTTTATATTTAAGTTTAGTTTTCTACGTTGTTTTTTTACTTTGTTTTCAATTATCCAATTCTTCTGAAAGATGAAGAAATATATGTTATTTTTTTGTGATTTGTTGCTGATGTGTTAGTTTAGACATTTCTTTTTATTAGCATTGTAGTACATGAATACATATAATCAGTGCTCAGGTTGATATCAAATTACCGTATGTGTTCTTTTCAGATATTAAAAAACCTCCAAAACCAAAAGTTGCAGGTGGACATAAACAATTTTTAGAAGGTGAAACATTTACAATACACTGTCGTGTACCAAATGATGGATTAATTAATTTCAAATGGAAGTATCCTCCTGAAGTTACCAATGTGAGTCTAGTACAAACCAAAATACTATGGAAAGATTTATCTATAATGTTTTTACGAATTGAACTTAAAATGTGAAGATAACAAAGCATTAAGATGTTAAGTGACTTTAATCTCAGGATTGATGAAAGTACAGATAAAAAATAATCTAACCACCTCATTGTATAGTTGATTAATTTATAAATTCAAACATTTGTCCGCACGGGTAGGGATCACCGCCCTGTCTATTTCAGTCGTGAAGCAGTAATGCGTTTCGGTTTGAAGGGTGGGGCGGCCGTTGTAACTATATTTGAGACCTTAGAAATCATATCTCAAAGTGGGTGGCGGCACGTTTACGTTATAGATGTCTATGAGTTTCGGTAACTACTTAAAACCAGGTAGGCTGTGAGCTCGTCCACCCACCAATGCAATAAAAAAATATTGTTGTACTGGTCAAAAAGGCCACCATTTTTTACGATGCCTACTTGAAAACATACAACCCAGATTGATGTCTATGGACTCTGGTAACCTCACCAGATGGATTGAGAGTTTAATATTAATATGAAGTGAACAATTATCCATCGCGATACACCTTTAAAGTTACATTATTCGCATTTGCCAGATTTGACATCCACGAAACTATACGACCTTTATCATGGGTAATTAATTAGTTGACAGTCAATTGGCATTGTATTTATAATTTTTGCTCATGGAAAACTATTTTGCTTTCGATATGCGTGTCTAATTTAAAATTCCAACTTTAAAAATTGCCGTTCACAGGACTCAGTGGAAGTATCTGTGGTCAAGACTGAAGCTACGACTACTGGTTCAATAGTTTATCAGAATATTACTATCCGAAATGCTACCAAGAAACACAATGGAGTATACACCTGCCTTTTAACGAATACTTGTGGAGAGGAGAAAGATGAGTTCAGGAAAATATTTTTAGGTAATATCATTCTTATTTTCTACTAAAAATGGTAGCATATGTAGCCGCTAGCCATAAAAGCCAATCTGAAATTTAAATAAATTATCATAATTTATGGTAAAATTAAATTTATGACTTAAATTTTTTTTGTTTTTTGTTTTTTTGTTTTATTGTTTAGTGGGGTGGACTTGCTCAACAACGGCTGCCTCACCCTTCAAACCGAAACGCATGACTGCTTCACGGCAGAAATAGGCGGGGTGGTTGTACCTACCCGCGCGGACTCACAAGTGGTCCTACCATCAGTAAATTCTAGTTCTTTCTCGTAATTTCTAGTTTTTAACTGATATTCTATGTTTAGATGCTTCTAAAATAAATTACTTTATAAGTTATTGAAGTATTCAAACCATAGGTATCCGCAAGGTAGTTTGCGTCAGCTGTTGTGGTCGCTTGCAAATCCATTTATACATTAAATCATGTAACAAATCTATAACGCGATTCAGAAATAATGATAACACCATTTATCGAGTAATTAATAAAATCGTTTAGTTTAGTTTATATACCCATTCCACTTTACATTCCTGCCTCAAATGCATTTTGTTTTAAGATATATTAGAATAGCAACTACTTCAACACCATTATATAAGCGGTATTGTTTTAAGCACTTAATACAAATCGTGCTTCATTTTTACATATTTTCATATTAAATTATGTTACAGAAACACCTTTTTTATCGCTGAGAGATCTAGCGAAAGGTAAACTTATGGGAAATGCAAATAGATCCATTAATATTGTCATTGAGATTGAAGCGTATCCCCCAGTTGAAAGGACACATTTGTGAGTAAAAACATCTATTTCAAATTAAACCATTATTTCAGAAAAAAATAATTTGGATTTGGATTAATTGTAAATTGATGTTAATATTAAACATCTCTTGAAATTGATTTTATCCTTAATATTAAATAGCTAGTGTACTAAAAATACTGTATTTGCCATGTTGTCAATTGTATATGGAAAAAGTCACAAAGGCCACAAAATAGCGATACTATTTTTATTCTTCGTTTTTTTTTAGCTTAAAAAACGATAAATATTTACCATCAAATGATTTGAAATACAACGTAACCACATTAGCTAATGGAGATCCTAAACTTCGTATTAACGATTTGAAACTGACCGACATTGCCAACTATACTTTAGTAGCGGAGAATAAATACTTGACGAAGAATTATACCGTGGATCTTAGAGTTTTCAGTAAGTATCGAAAATAATAATAAAAAACATAAGTTATGGCCTTAGCATTTTTCAGTAAAAAAAGGTCGTTCTCAAGTTCACAACTATAACAATGTACCTACATGTAAATAAACCACTGCGGTCCTTTTCATAATAAGCTATCGGAACTTTATAAGACTGTCGAAATTTGTTATTTATATGGCCTTATTTCATATTGAGGACATCGACGTTATGAAAATACGTTTTCAACAGCGTTTTTTCAGTCGAATATCAATATAATCTACATAGCCGGGGTCAAACTTTTAAAACTGAAGTGGCCTCAATTATATTGTGAAATCGTTGATGTTTAGTTAATTCGATTATAAACAGTACCGGCTGTAAAGTCAATAAAGTATGTGTTGCTATAAACGTTTCAGTTTTTGAAAATCTTCTTATAACGGACTAATAAATAAATAGCACATATGGCCTAACTCATTATGAAGATGACCGCAATTTGCAAGTACCTACAGACCGCCACCCACCTCGAGACATAATGATCGAAGTCTCAATTGTATTGTATGTATAACGATTTTCTCACCCTACAAACCCGTACATATAAATGGACTGCGACAAAAGTAGGCATGTTGGTGGTACCTATCCATACTACTAGTAACTAAGCACATGTATATAAATGAATATTGTTCGTTTATGGTTATTTAATTGAATCGTTACAGCAAAACCTGAAGCTAAACTGTTAAATAACAGGATCATTAAACGTCTCGAGAATTCAGAGATGAACTTTGCGTGCAAAGTTACAGGTTATCCTTTACCAGACGTAACCTGGATTTTTTCTAATGACGAGGAGCATGAACTGGTAATAAAACTAATTTTTAATATATCCATAAGTAGATAGTTAGTTGATCACGAAAAAAGTGTAAATAATAATTGCAGATTGATTTATAATGAACGTTTTAAATTGAACTGTGAGTTACAATTGCAATAATAAGTACACATAGCATGCTATTACCATTTTTACACAAGTTAACTGTAATGCTGATGGTATTTTTGATTGCTGATATATTTTGGATTAAAGAAGGAGTAATACTTTCAATTTTAAGTATCCCTAATTTTCGTACGTAATACATTTAAAATTTATAGCTATGATTTATCCGCGTAAATACCGCTGGATTTTGATTCTCAAATTTTAAACTTTCAGTCATCCACGAAATCAGAGCAAGAGTCTTTGTATGCGAAAACGGATTATCTCAAAATATCAGTGCAAGCTTCTGGTGTCATAACTTGTAATGCACACAACTCCAAGGGGGAATATTTTGACAGCAGCACACTTTTAGTTTATGAAATAAACAATGGATTTGGTATATTACAGCCATTAGAAAATTGGTATTCAGAAAAAGACAGTGCCAGAAAGAAATGCTTGGCTTCGGTTTACGATTATGATAATGTTTCTTGGTTGGGAAGCGACGGTAATATATTGGATGACATAGGTGAGAAGATATCAATATTTGAAAAAATTGTGAATGTTTTGAAAGTTAAATAAAAAAGAAATATGTGACAAAGTACACAGTTTGGCCACAAATACTGTAAATTTTAATTTTGATTCTGTTATTCTCTTATGCATATTTATATTTTTAGGTTAATCCTGATCTGATCTTATTCATATTTTTAGGTTAATCCTGATCTGACCTGTCAAATGTTTTCATCTTAGGCTTCCTTTAAAGGATAACTTCGGGCTTGCGATTCATAAAGGACGTATGGGTCATTATCAAAATTTTGCGTTAACTATACAAAGCTAAATAAGATTGGGTGTATGCTTTGCGTTAGAGAACCTGTTCATATGTCGTTTCATCGGTTCAAATAGATTTTGAGGAAGGCCGAATTCACACTATTGCACGATTTCAGAGTAGATTTCATACTACTAGTAGTATATATAGTAATAGGTGTTCTGGTATCCATGTGAGGGCCTCTTGTGAGCTTAAGTCGATTGTTGCCATATCTCATATCCCTTCCTTAATTTATCTAATTTTTGGGTTCATTAAATTCTTGAGCAAGGATATTTTTGTGGGAAAAAAAAACGAACCCTCAGACACAGCCCACTGAGTTTCTCGCCGGATCTTCTCAGTGAGTCGCGTTTCCGATGCGGTGGTAGATTCTGCGAAGCACGGCTCTTGCTAGGGTTCGTGTTAGCAGCTTCGTCAGGTGTGAGCCCCGTGAGCTCACCTACTAGTTAAGATTCCGCTGAAACAGCCTCTCAAGGCTATCAGCTTAGGTAGGAAAAAAAAGGGAATAAAATTATAATGTAAGGACGTTAATAGCGTGGAAACATATGGAAGTAGTAGCACTAGTTCGATGAGACAGGAAGGAAGGCCGTAAGCAAAACAAACTGTTATCACGTATGATCTAAACGTCAATTCTATTCTAGTCTAGTTCTATTCTGTGTCTAAATCCTCTATTTTTGTTGATTTGATTTTAGTTGAATATTCAAACAGCACATTTTCGCATATAGCTACGTTAACATTAGATCCAATTTCAATGGAGCACACAGGCACTTATATATGTCGAGGTTTAAGGAAGAACTCCACAGAGGCAGACTTTCAAAATATAACAATAACGGTTGCGGGTTTGTATTATTTTGATTTTACTACGAATCGTGTTACTTTTTGTGTGATCTTTTCTGTCCCTTATGATCATTTCAATTTAAAAGTAAGGTAATTGATCAGAAACATTTAATCAACTGCTTAATATAATTAGATGATAATGGTGGAAAGCTTCGTTTCATTGTGTCTAGGAGCCCAGGAAATTATTTAAATCCTGATGGAATATAGGGACTTTTGAACATCTAACTTAACCGTAAAAAAAGCGTTAACTATTTTTAATATAAATAACATATAAAACATAAATATTTATAATAATCAAACGCTTCAGTAGAAACTGATGTTTCTTTTTTAAATGGCATTTGGAATTTTAATAACGGAAACAATTTTTCTATGATAAATATTAATTACAGAGTTGTTGGCGCCAATAATCAGAGAACCGGATTCCAATAAAGATGAAGAAGCAATGGAGGGTCGTTCAATACAATTGCATTGTGAAGCTGAAGGTGTTCCTCGACCAACAATCTATTGGTATAAGGTAAGCTAATTGAATATTGTATCTTTATTTCAGGTGCCTTCTATCTTTTACATATATAGATGATATTTCCAACATCTCTAAACCATATTGAAGAATACATTCCGTTTTTTTAGGATGACGAACTCATTTCTAATAATTCTGGATACAAATTATTTGTTGACATAGTAAACCACACGATTGTAAATTCGACATTTGAAATTGAAAATATGCAGGAAAAAGACAACGGAATATATGAATGTGTGGCTTTGAATAATGCTAGTGAATTAAGAAGAGCTTACACACTCGTACTTAAAGGTAACAAACAGTTTTCTTAAAGATTTATATTTGGTTTAAAGGGCCGAAACAATTAAATTATTTTAATTTATAACTTTCAAAATTACAGCCGAGAAATCCTACACACCCTATGTTATTGTCACCGCGGTGATTATTTTAGTACTCCTCGGTATGGTGGCGTATCTATTTACGTGGAAATTGAAAAAACAAAGGGAATTGACTAAAGCGGGTCTTTTAAATTTCAAAAGTGGTAATAAGAAATCATTCAATCCCAATTTGGGAATTGATGAACAAGCAGATCTATTACCTTACGATGAAAAATTCGAGTTTCCCCGCGAAAAATTAACATTTGGTGAGTAAATTAGTGAGGAAATCTTGACCAATACTTCCCTATTTACTATGTATACTAATTGTAATATGATCAAGATAAGAAAAGAGTCAAAAGCCGCTCACTTCATATTAAAGCTCAATAAATATATATTATTTTTATTTACTTGCTAGTAAATTGAAATGAATACATATTTTATTATTTTATCCTGAGTATGTATTTATTATAAATTTTACTAGCTGACCCGGCAGACTTCGTAGTGCCCTAATCGATAAATAAAAGACCTAAACCTTTGTATAAAATAAACTAAAAACAAACAAAAGGAATCCGTCCGACGGGGTACACATCAAAGGAAAAACAAAATTGTTATTTTTATTTAACTCCGAGCAATTTCATATTTATCTACCTTTTAAACCTTCTCTGGACTTCCACAAATAATTTAAGACCAAAATTAGCCAAATCGGTCCAGCCGTTCTCGAGTTTTAGCAAGACTAACGAACAGCAATTCATTTTTATATATATAGATTATGTATGTGTTTTGGATTGGATTGTTTGGATTGGATTGGATTATGTATGTGTTTTGGAATAAATTTGTTTAAGAACAGAGAAAAACTATAAAGTAAAAAAAAAAACTACACAATGAGTACTTGTGAGAAACAGTTGCTTAATGCGTTTTGCAGGGAAGCAATTAGGTGCTGGTGCATTCGGCGTAGTCTATAAAGCCGAAGCTCGTGGTATAATCAATGCTGAAGTAACAACTCCAGTCGCCGTGAAGATGGTGAAAAGAACCGCAGATAACATGTATATCAAAGCCTTAGCATCGGAACTCAAGATAATGGTGCATCTCGGAAAACACGTCAACATCGTGAATTTACTGGGAGCCTGTACGAAACATATTGCGAAGCGTACGTTAACAACATACTTTATAATTTAATAGCGAACCGCCGCCGCCTCGCTTGTATGATTCAGGAGCACGTGCTGAAATCATATTACAACAATGCCTCATTTTTATATTATTTTTACATATTTTTGTTTCAAAAGCATTGATATTGAATTTGATGATACTTTAACTCTTTAAGGATTTTTTTTTTTCTTGATTGAGTCTTGGTTCATTATTTGTAGTTTTAAAAAAAAATACTGGTGATATTTTAAGTCCATACGGATGATCAGCATCGTCCTATCTATTTCTGCGGTGAAGCTATTATTTGTTCCAGTATAATGCGTGGGAGACCTCATGTATTACTGATCATATTTTTAACATCGAGCTTAATATATTTTAGATTCTCAACAGACAATTGCCTCCTCAATAAAACCTGTAATAACCTGCATTATTAACATGTCATAGGTATATTCGATTGTTCTCAATTGCCGATTTGTTTAAAATTACAGGCGAATTGATAGTTATAGTAGAATATTGCAAATACGGAAACATCCACAACTACATGCAGAAGCACAGAGAAGTGTTTATAGATCAGCTAACTGATAACGCAGAAAAGAATCTCGGGAAAATCAATAAAGGATTCCTCAACAGCGTCGGTACCACGGGGTCTGTATTTCATATATTATTATGTAAATGAGTCAACTTTACAGGAAAAAATAGGGAAGAAAATATCCCTAGTAGGTACCCAATATGCCTTAGAAATATTACTTAAGATTAGAATTAAGGGAAATTAGATAGGAAGATAAATGAGAATTTTGCTACTAAGACGAATGATGGGCAAGATGCAACAAGAGGCATGCATCCTTCAAAGATTATCTTCTATATATAAAAATGAATTGCTTTTAGTTAATCTCGCTAAAACTCGAGAACGGCTGGACCGATTTGGTTAATTTTGGTCTTGAATTATTTGTGAAAGTCCAGGGAAGGTTTAAAAGGTAAATAAATATGAAAATGCTCGGAATTATATAAAAACAAACAATTTTGTTTTTCCTTTCATGTGTCCTCCGTCGGTCTTTTGTTTATCGATTGAGGCACTACGAAGTCTGCCGGGTCAGCTAGTAACCGCATCTAATTACTGCATCAAATCTCAATGTATATTTCGTACGGCAACACAGGAAAGTTTAAATTGTAATAAACATGCAACTACATACAGGAAATTTTTAAAAACACGTTTGTTGCTTTATTCCTCCATTCGTCATTCGTTATTATTGTATGTACGCTTTAAAACTAAATTGTTTTCAATAACCACAACAATATGATGAAAAGTTGACCTGGACTTTGAAAAATATCATTTCAAATCATCATTTTTTTTTTAACACCTTCCAATATTTAAAAATATTGGTAATAAATAAATGAGTTCAATTCATTTCATTTCGTTCGTTTGGAACGAACTGTTCCACCTTTTTTATTTTTTTTTATTGCTTAGATGGGTGGACGAACTCACAGCCCATCTGGTGTTAAGTGGTTACCGGAGCTCATAGTGATCTACAACGTAAATGCGCCACCCACCTTGAGATATAAGTTCTAAGGTCTCAGTATAGTTACAACAGCTTCCCCGTCCTTCAAACCGAAACGCATTACTGCTTCACGGCAGAAATATTGTTGATTATGTTGATAGATGTTGGTTTTTTAAATCTAATGTTATAATTGTTTTATATCTTAAAAATAAAATACACAAACATACTGATACGAAAAAAATATATATCTTGGTACAGTTTATTTCATATTTTTGGATAAAATTAATTGTTTCTATTTCGTTATTTCCAGAACACATTCGGATTACTTCAGCTCTGGAAACACAAAAGATACTGATCATTCATTGCTAGATTCCGGGAATTCAAAGAGATCTGGTAGGAAAGGTAAAGTTTTAAATCTAACAAAGCTTTTAACATATCGATATTTCACTAGGATTAAGAAAACTATTAAAGAACATCTGTGCAATAAAGCTTACTATAAAGTCAATGATTATCTAGAAGATCACCATTTCAATATTGCTATAATTGTTACGTTATATTGATCATTGTATAAAATGAGTATTTAAAAAAAAATCTAATATTTAAAAAAAAAAGACATGCCCGCTGAGTTGCTTGCCAGTTCTTCTCAGGACGGAGGCTAGTTTTTGTGAACTGACGGTAGTTCTTTTTGACGGTCAACAAGTATGTACTTTCATTTAGGTTGAATACATTTTTTTTTATTTGATTTGATTTGATTAAAGAATCTTGATAATAGCCTGACATAGGATTAGACGAATTCGTGATGGTTAAACAATCGATTGAATTGCAATATGACAATCGAGTCCACGATTATCTTACGCCCTGATTTAACAATCGAGATATTTTTTATTGATTCGTGACCACTTTATGAACTGTCAACCTACTCTCAACTACAATTATTTTCTACCAATTGTTTTGGTTTAGCAACGCCTCGCGATGCTAGTTCAAGATTTTGTAAATGTATAATAACTCACCCCTTATCGTCTCTACTCACCAGCTTAATGTGTTTATGTAATAATACCTATACATAAATAAAATAAACATAATTATAATAAATTAAACATAATAAAATGCAAAACTCTTATTGTTTAACATTAAAATTTATCATAGTTATCCTTATATCGCAGATTTGCAACGGCAACTGTACTGTACTGTATATATATATTATTTATTATATTTCCCGTTTTCCTGAAATCAATGCTATACACGATGCTTTACGATTTGCGGCTAGCAGATTATTTAAAATATATATAGATTATTATCAGTGTTTTTAGTCATTGTTATTATTATCGATGACTTTCATTATATCTGATTATTGTCTGTCAGAGTAGCCTATAAAAATGCGAATTCAATTCTCACTGAAGGGAAACTGAACTTTATTGTAGCTAATTACATATTATTATTTTATTCGTGGAACTGCTTGTCGAGCCATTTGTCATGCTTGTCACCACATACGTCGAATGTTTCCTTAACCTAAAAACGACAGGTTTTATTCATTAAAACGTAAATTACCTAATTAGAAAGTAATATTAAATATTGATTAGAAAGTTGTTGAATATTGACAAACAACATTAGAATGGTGGACAGAAAATTATATCCGCTCAAAATATATTTAAAAATACATATATAAATCGTTTCTTGTGAGTTTTGTATTATTTTTTGTCGTTAATAATTTTCTTGTAAAAGGTTTACAATGTACATTTAGAAAACGCTTTGAGTAAAATTAATTAATGGCTTTTGATAATTGTAAAATGCGCATTTCAATAATACAGCGTGAATATTTTTAAGATGGCGTGATGCATTTTTTTTTGTAAACACAACATTTCATGGTTTTCAAACGTAAACTTAATGTCACGTAGTGTGTGTAATATGGTTTATTTGGCCTATTTCAGTTTCATATAAGCTATTCAATTTTTATTCTATACCTAATAATAATATGTATTTATACGAATTCTTACTAGGAACTTAGCTTGAAAAGCAACTTAATGTGTTGTTTTTTCTTATTCCAGTTTCGGAAGGGTACATCCAGCAGGAGTGGCAAACTAAATATGAAGGCGACTACATCTATGAGTGTCACCAGCCACGGCCGCTTACATCAGGTCACCTGCTTGGCTGGGCTTTCCAAATAGCACGAGGAATGGAATATCTTGCTAACAGAAAGGTTAGTTGTATCTTCTCTATAGTCATCTATCTATTTTCTATCATCTATCCATCATCATCTATCATCTATGGTCATATTGATATACTTAGTTTAGTCTGTCCAATAATTGACAACACAATTGTATACGGCTGACATTTTAAAATAGGTTTAAATTCTAATGAATTTGTTTACAATATCGCTATCATAAATATTGTAATATTTCAGGTTCTTCATGGAGATTTGGCGGCAAGAAATGTTTTGTTAGCCGATGATAACGTAGTCAAGATATGTGACTTCGGACTCGCAAGAAGTATGTACAATAACGAAGAATATCAAAAGAAGGAAAACGTAAGTGATTCTCTACCTTTTAAATATACTGCTTATTCGCTGTGATTTGAATTCACACACTTATAGAAAAACTCTTAGGCAATTGAATTATAAGCTTGATTTATAATAAATATATATGTTTATTTATTTATTACTTAGATGGTGGACGAGCTCACAGCCCACCTGGTGTTAAGTGGTTACTGGAGCCCATAGACATCTACATCGTAAATGCACCATCTACCTTGAGATATGAGTTCTAAGGTCTCAGTGTAGTTACAACTGCCCCACCCTTCAAACCGAAACGCATTACTGCTTCACGGCAGAAATAGGCAGGGTGGTGGTACCTACCCGTGCGGACTCAAGAGGTCCTACCACCAGAAATTACGCAAATTATAGTTTTGCGGTTTTGATTTTTATTATACGATGTTATGCCTTCGTCGTGGAAGTCGTGGAAGTGAACATTTGTTAGGTACGTATTTCATTAGAAAAATTGGTACCCGCCTGCGGGATTCGAACACCGTTGCATCGCTAGATACGAATGCACCGGACGTCTTATCCTTTAGGCAACGGCGACTTCAAAATAGTGCTTGCCCATTTAAATATTTTGTTGTAACTATTTAAAGTACTTTTCATAGTTATAATAATGATAATTTTAAATGCTAATATAAAAGAAATTAACTTAAATTTTGACGTATTTTTCCAGAGCCCTCTACCGGTGAAATGGTTAGCCATCGAATGTATGGTTGACAGGATATTTTCGACCCAATCCGATGTTTGGTCCTACGGAATCGTGCTTTGGGAGATGTTTTCTTTAGCAAAGACTCCGTACCCTAACATAAGTCCCACTGACTTACTGCGTTGGCTCTCTGATGGGTAAAGTTTTCTCAAGCAATTTTTAATATTTTTATGGATTCTTTGACACTCCGTCATTCGTATCGAATAAAGTGCGAATTAAGTTATTCAAAATCAAACGGATTCAAATTAAGGAGAAGGGAAAAGGAAAGGGCCGTCTAGGTGAAGCTCAATAACCATTGTTGTTGTACATGTTTATATGGCATTCCGTGGTTTTTATTTGCGACGACTATTTATTATTTCTTACTCATCGAAGGCAAAGGAGATCAAGCCTAGAGGTACCATTGTCCACGAATGTCCCCGATCTAAATTGTAAGCCGTTTCAAAATCATTTACGAAATTTAATTCTAGGAAAGATTCTGTTTTTGTTATCCACCCTAAAAAAGTGTCCATGTAATTTGAGATACAATACATTAATGTAAAGTGAAAACACTCCATTGCTTTTTATATAATCGAAATATCAAACCATACAATAAATTAGTGAAAAAAGTATTTTAGTTTTAAAAACTTTAATGAGGTATAGGTTTATTGATAATAAATAAAACTAGGAATGCCAAAGTTGATTTGTTTGTTAAGTTTTTTCGTCTTAGCCTAACCATTAATAATCACCATTAAATTTCGATATTTTTCATCCATACAAAACGTACATCTCTCGAGGCATGGAGCTTTTGTTCTACATTAATGCACGCGAATCTACTTTTAAAAACTAGTATAATATAAACGCGAGATTATACGGTGCGTGTGTGTTTGATAAATACAGCAGTTTTAATGTTATCGTTTTAATTTGATTACTTGTTTATTATTTCAGTAATCGATTGGAGAAACCACCATTTGCGGATGATCGTCTCTACAACGTCATGCTACGATGTTGGCATCAGAAGCCCACCGCGCGACCTTCGTTTACAGAGCTGCAGGAAATATTAGGAAACTTCCTTGAAGACAACGAACGCAACGTAATTATAATGATTTTTTTTTATTACGCTAGATAGATAACCTTATTAAATATCTGGTATTAAACCGTTACCTGTAGCCATAGATATCATATCAATTTTTGTATTTTCGATCACGAATTTACTAAATGATAAGTAAATAGCTTTGAAAACAATAGTAATCTAGATTTATTTATCGTTACCATGAAAGTTATAAAGTATTCGAAATATCGGAAATAATAGAGCGACAATAGTAAACACAAGATTAAACGATAAAACTAGTTTTAATTTAATCAAATACAAACAAATTATCGAAATGATAGTGTTTTCTGTTCTTGAATTGTAACACCCTGTATAGTTATTTGACTTCAAAAACTAATAAAAAAATTGTTATGTGTGTGTGTGTGTGTCCAGCGCTACGTTGATCTGAACGCGCCGTACAATGAAATGAACGCCGAACTCATGACCGGGGAGGACTATCTCGCGATGGTTTGTGCACCGGATTACAACAACATCGTAACACCGAGCCCCAACTACGTCAATATGGCAAAGAGTTTCTTCCCGGCTACACCCACTCCTAAAGGTACGTTCCTATTGTTGCTATGTACCTACAAGCTTGAACATTAGTAGTAGAGAGGTCTCAAATAGTTTCTTTTACCCGTGGCGTAGCGAATAAGACGCTCGCTGTATAGAGGGTAGGTATTAATTTTGAATTCAAATAGAAATAGCAATAGTAATATGTAGTTAGTTATAGAATAGTATACTAGTAGAACAATATATAGTCATCATCATCATCAGAATAATATATAGTTATAGAATAGCAATAGCTCAGGAATTATTTTCAGGATAAATAAATAGCTTCGTGTTATAAAAATCATACGTACAAATTTCGAGATTCGCCGTATATAGCTCGTCTGTCTATATTCAAATAACATCTATAAACAAATAACATCTATAAAAGGATTTTGCCAAACTTAACAATTATTTAATATTTAAGGTCCTTACATATGAAATTAGCGTTTTGTGTGGGAGGAGCATAGTCATTATTTTTTTTGTAAAATATATATAATTAATCAAAGTATGCACCGTTGTTATCTATGCCCTTTTGCCATCTCATAGGTAGCTTATTGATCCCTTTACTAAAAAAAAACATGGAGGGGAGAATCATAAACTCTTTGAAGGCGGTTTGGACTGCCGCATCGGAGTTGAATTTTCCAGAACGAAAACGTTGAAACCAAAAACGTACCGTGATTTCTTTTGCGACACCAGCGCCGTTCACATCATTAATCCTTCGAGCTGTGTCTGCAGCACTGGTGCCACGGTAAAACTCGTACTCGTAAATATACCGATATTTCAAAATTTCCATTGTGCGGTAATAAGCGACGCCAAAGAAAAAATTATGAGGAAATAACAAATGAATTACTGTTTTCAATAGTCAAAAGTACCAGCTAAATGAATTTATAAATTTGAATTTGGAATTCTTAACCAAAGAGGAGATATTTCAGATCAAAGTGGTCAGTACGTCAAAACGCAAATTTCATATGTAAGGACCTAATACTAACGTATTTACGAACGTCTTCATTTATGATGCATAAAAAGCATATTATATATATCAATATTTCAATATTTTAATTAGCCTTTTTCCTTTTGGTCGAGTTGTAGACATAATTAAATCGACTTTTACGGTTTAATCTCATGTTTTTAGTTTAATAAAATTGCGACATTTCCAATACTTGACAGTTTTCATGTTCCAGAAAACTATGCTGTCAATTGTTTTATATTTGAATATTAACTATTCAGCTCAATCTAAAGTGCTGTAGATTAAGTATTTTAATTTGTGAAAACCGAGATATTAGTATTAATTATAGGCACACTATGATTTTAGTATCGAATTATAATGTTACTGACCCGATAATTAATTCAACTGTATTTTTTAAAGCAACTGATGCCGAAAAAGGTAACATTATCAAAGAATCTGTTTTCTTATTATTTATTTTTATAGAAATTTTTTTAGTACCTTCACCTTTACTGACTACAATAAAGACGTTCTTACAATAAAATAAAGTCGTTTTTAGTACATCTCACATTTATTCATTCTTCCATTTTATCAGATGAAACGGCTAATACGACGCTGTAACTCAACAACTATACGGTAAAAGCATGCAAGTTTGCAAGTTTGCCAGTTGATATTGTTGTAAAAGTAGCTGTTACTAACAGAAATAACTGATTATATAGGAATGCACACTTTTTCTCAGTGTTACGTAAAACAGAAAACCTGTGAACTGTTTCCACTAAATAACACTATATGACATTATTTCGGTCTGTCCTTTCCAAACTTTTTATTGTATGTGTGTATCTAAAAATAATAATATATTGTAATGATACTAAATTATAATTACAATTAATTTATTTCAGATCAAGAAGGCTATTTACCAATGAGCCCTACATCGGATCAAACGAAATACATGGCTCACGGAACTAAGTTCGACTTCGATTCTAGAAAGCTCAATCCTAGAGTATCGGAAGCTAGTAACGTTGGTTCAGTAATAACCCCCCTGTTAGATTTAAACAACCTTCCAGCGAGAAGCGGATCAGAATCAGATCATGAAAACAATGCCTCGACGTACCTTGACAAATGTATTGACGACAAAAAATCTGACGAAGTATTTGAAATGAAACAAACAAACACGAAAAATCCACAGGACAATAGTGCAGTGACGAATCCTACATATTATACATTCGACGTTGAAAACGAGAAGAAGCCAAAAGAAATAACTAACCCTTATGTTAATTTTGCCAACGGCTCGACTGTTCACTTAAAATAGACGCATTGCTTTCCTAATCTGTTACACTTAAGTTCGTTTGGATCTCCATGCTTAAATTTTTCTGTTCATCTCTATTTAACTCCAACTATTCTATTGATTAAGTAATTGATGCTTTTTTGTGTGTATTGTGTATGTATGCATGGATGTGTGTGCGTGTGTTAGTCTTAAGAAAGTAGACCTCGGTTCACATGACGGTGTACTGTATTATTTATGGCAGTAGGTAATATGTATTTATTTTATAGAAATAGAGTGGCATTTAAACTGTGTATATAACAATACTTTTGTAAAATTGTACACAGATAAATATGTATTTGATTGCCAAAACTATTTTTACAGCATAAACGCACAGTAGGTATAGGATCGTTTGAATTCACTTGCTTACACACTTGTGGCTCGTATGGACTACTGAACCACAGCGTCACCTGTCGTCGTGACTGTAATCTGTGTCGACGCGACGTTTCCATATCGTTGACACGCCGCAACTGCGTCGCTACTGTGTTGTATCCATTGCTGGTCGACCGTTTACAGTTTGCTATATAGTATAACTAATTTTAAGCGAATGTCTTGATTCATTCGTAGATAATTATGCTAAATATTATTATATAATCACTCAAATTATCGTATGAGTCGACTATTATCAAAGCCGGCAATGTGACTTTTGAACAATTATTGGTAAATCAGAAAAATGAATTATTGACTTTGTATTCCATTGGCAGTAACAAAACTCTTCTGAACGACATCTTAGATAAATAACAGGTTAAGTATTAACCTTTATTTAATGCAGGTTTTGAACCGTATTCTTTGGAGGAGACGAATATATTCAAATCAATCTGTATTGACATATCAATAACATTTTTTTGTCCAAATGCACAGATTGCCACCTTTGATAATAGACGACTCGTATATATATATTAAAATCATTGTCGTATATCGGTGAAATATGCTTAATGAAGTCTTTATTCTAAAAGAGTGTCATTGAAGTTTTATTTTCACTTTATCAACTTCGGAACAGGCGAATGGTGTGCAAAGACGGAGTTCTTTATTAATCGAATTTGATAAAATTCTGTCAATGTGACAGGAGTCGCTAGCAATCTACGTATTGTCGAATAGATGTCGTGAAATAGAGATTCAAGTAATGAAACTGGTATACGCTGGTAGGCAGTGCGACATGTAGATACTATCGTCTACTGATCTACTCTATTTAGTCAGTGTGCTGTCGCAGAATACTGTGTGCTTAGTGCGAGTTTTTTAACGTTCTCGATAGCGTAAGAGTTAACCCAATTTTTTATGCAGTTGGAATAGCGCCGCTAACGGCAAACGTAGGCAAACGATCCCATTCCATACAAATATGAGGTAACTTTTACGCTATCGAGAACGTTCAAAAACTCGCACTAAAGGTGAATTTACATTACGAAATTAGTGGCATGAAATTAATTTCGTGACATTAGTTTTACCAACAGTTTCACGTGTAATTTAATACTTTCGTAATGCATGCATTAATTTCATGCATGCAATTTAGTTTCGTGCCCTGCGAGATTTTTTGGTGAAATTAGTGTCATGCAACTAATTTCATAGTGTAGACGCGACGTAAGCACACTGTTTCAGTGATATGAATACGCTATTTATTTATTCACGATCCTCTGCTCTTCAGCTAAATGTTGTATGTTGTTATGTGTTTGATTGTTGTTTTAGAGTTTTACGTAAATGAAAATGTATTTAATTTTATTGACCCCACCATTGTATTGTTTTTTGTTTTCTGTTCACAATCATTCCTGGTTTGTTGCGATGATTGTAGAAAGAAAAACAGTGATTGCCATAAGAATTTTTACTCACCTCTCAATGACTTGATATTTGAGAAGTATTTTCTTTTATAACTTACCATGAGAAAAAATGAGAAAAGTAAAATCATTATATTTTTATACTCATATAAGAAGTTGTCGTAATTAAGTTCAAATCTCTAAATTTTATCAAAATCAAGTCAATTTATTAGTCTAGTCTGGTCGAGAGAAGAGATACATATAAAATTCCAAATGTACTAAAGTTCTATAGTATATATTATTATAAGATTTTGTTAAGTTTTGTTGTATTCAACCAAATGTCTTTATGTTGTATCGAATAAGAATATCTAGGTTTTAAATATAATAAATAAATGTGATATTAAAATGCTTCTTTTGTCTTCGTAGCCGCTGGTTTAATTAGATTTGTTTAAAAATGAATTGTTAATATCCCCGAAGAGCTCGGCGAGTAAATTAACCCACAGATACAACCCACAGAGTTTCTGGCCGGATCTTCTCAGTGGGTCTCGTTTCCGATCCGGCGGTAGATTCTGCGAAGCACTGCTCTTGCTATGGCCAGTGTTAGCAACACCTCTGGATTGAGCCCCGAGAGCTCACCTACAAGCGTGGGTTACGCTGATATAGCCTCTCAACGCTATCAACATAGATATATTATTATCATCGGAAATAGCGCGACTTACCCTGAGTCTTCAGGTCTCAATCGTAAACTAATAACACTTTTTTTTTCGTGTTTGATTTTTAATGCACAATGTTATTCCCTCATCGTGGAAGTCATTCGCGAATATGAGTAAGTATTTATTTCCTTTGAAAAATTGCTATCTGCCCGCGAGATTTGAGCATAGTCATGGTCGCATCACCTACGTAATGCAATTCTCGGACAATTCTTGAGTTATTCATCGTTATCTATGTCATTAGCGATATCGTATTCACTACAATGAACAATTTTGTTAGGCTGAACAGAAAGAAGGCACTTTTTTTTAGTCCGAGCAACTACAACTAGTAGGTACTTGATTGAATAACGAAAAATAAAAACTGTAAAGTAATGCAGCCTTAGTTTTATTATAAAAATAAAAATATTAATTTACAAAATCCCTCTCATGAAAGAGACGACGAAAGCTTCAATTGCTTCTGCAGCCTGAAAAAATTAAAAAGAAATAATTCAAATGTATGCCTTTTAAACAAATATCCTCAAGTTTCTCTTTAGAAGATAAGACATTCATTATAATTGGACGAAATTATGGTAGGCTGAGGCATTCGTGTTGCAATCTATTGATTTTTATGCTTTAGAAGAAAAGCTTTTTTTTTTTATTGCTTAGATGGATGGACGAGCTCACAGCCCACCTGGTGTTAAGTGATTACTGGAGCCAAATAGACATCTACAACGTAAATGCGCCACCCACCTTGAGATATAAGTACTTAATGTAATTACTGGTGGTAGGACCTCTTGTGAGTCCGCGCGGGTGGGTACCACCGCCCTGCCTATTTCTGCCGTGAAGCAGTAATGACTTTCGGTTTGAAGGGTGAGGCAGCCGTTGTAACTATACTTGAGACCTTAGAACTTGTATCTCAAGGTGGGTGGCGCATTTACGTTGTGGATGTCTATGGGCTCCAGTAACCACTTAACACCAGGTGGGCTGTGAGCTCGTCCACCCATCAAAGCAATAAAAAATAAATAAAAAGACTTACACAAATTATAATTTTGCGGGTTTCACTTTTATTACACTATGTTATTCCTTCACCGTGGAAGACAATCGTGAACATTTGTTGAGTACGTATTCCATTAGAAAAATTGGTACCCACCTGCGAGATTCGAACACCGGTGCATCGCTTCAACACGAATGCACCGGACGTCTTATCTTTTAGGCACCGACGACTTCAAAGTCGCTTCTGAATACGTGTTTGATACGTATTTCTTTAGATTTTTTTACCTTAGTGAGTGATTTACACGATAGTAAAGTTTCATCGCTCGATTCGAATACGCGAAGCAGCGTCTTGACTAACAGTCGTCCAAAAGTCGTGGACTGTGTGCTTAGTGCGAGTTTTTTAACGTTCTCGATAGCGTAAAAGTTAGCTCATTTTTGTATGGAATGGGATCGTTTGCCTACGTTTGCCGCTAGGGGCGCTGTTCCAACTGCATACAAAATTGGGTTAACTTTTACGCTATCGAGAACGTTAAGAAACTCGCACTAAGCACACTGAAGTATGAGACGCTAAGTGTATATACGAAACGATTGATGCAACTATGCCGGTGTACAAATAAATACCTTAAGATATTAAGATACGAGTAACTTCCACGATAAACCATAAAATAATATAGCGTAATTTAAGGCCACAAAAAAGTTATTAATTTAAGTTAAGTAATTAAAATACAATACACCTTAACTCTCAAGGTTAATGGCGCATTCATATTATACGATTCTTATGGACTAAGGTACCTAATCAATTAACAATATTAGTTTAATCGAATATATAATAAAAAAGTAAAAAAAATATAATACACAATCGCGATAACCTTATGAAATGAAACTTAAGTGGGTTATGTAATCAGCAACTTACATCTTTCAGAGCTTCCACCAGTCCCATTGGAATATCCATTATCATCTTTACGAAGCTGGCAATCGCCTGAAAAAATATTTGCTATTCAGAAATGACTTTGGTTATAGGCAAACATGATTTGTTTATTCGCCCAAAATAATAACTTTTATACGAATGGATTGATTACATTCGGTATTGTGAATCTGTATTAATGTCAACTTTGTATAGCCCAAATCCGATATTTTCACGTAGGTAGATATTTCAGTGTTTGTCGGTAATTGAATTTTTGATTATTTACTGAATTCTTTCTTTTTGTTTTACTTTATTTATCCGATATGATTTATTTACATATCTTGTTTATTTTATTTTTTTGTTTACCTTCATGAGTAGACTACGATTCACCTAATCCTAAACTAGGGGCTCTCAAACTTATTTTGTCTACTGCCCACTTTGGGAATAAATTATTTTTTAGCGCCCCCATTTTTTCAACTATAGCGAGAGCTTAATCGGTGTCTAAGAGTAATCCTAGATGTAATTACAAATCGCCTCCCAAGCCTCTACAAATCGCCCCCATTTTTTCTGGGTCTCTTACCGCCCCCCTTTAGGCCTGCAACGCTCAAAAGGGGGCGTTATCGCCCACTTTGGGAAAGGCTGTCCTAAACGAACACAGTAGTCCATAGACGGAGATATCATGCCAAATCTAAAGCTGGATCTTAATGCGCGATGATGAAATCTCATTCAGAATTTTAGCCTATTCTCCAAACAAGAATATGTGATTATTTTACAATAGAACTAGTTCAAAGGAAAATACTAAGCCGGGTATTTGCTCATTATGAAACGCTACATTAAATCGATTGTTAGTCTATTGATATTATAATTTTTCTTACGTGATGTATTTCGTCGCCATTATTATACTATTTTACATAATTTTACGTTACGCTGATACCATGACAGCCTGGTGATGCTTTAGAGTGTATGTATACATACGACTAAATTTTAATAGCCTATATTTGTAGACGAGAAAACAGTTTGAAAAATCTATTTCCATGCCTTGTACAAAGTTTTTCATTGACTTCGATGGGGTGGCAACCTTAAAGTCACGAAATTAAGCGATTACTACACCGACCGATAACACAACGAGCATGGACCCACCTTGAGGTTTGAGATCGAACTCTTAAACTCAACTCAGCTGCTATTCCATCCTTTTGTTTTTTTTATTTTATTTACTAAGTACCAAATTTTTACATCAAATCTATGTAAGTAGCACTTTCAACGGAAAACAACATTTTTGAAAATACCATTGTAACTATTGAAGGAAATTTCAATTTGTACTTTCCATTTTTAACATAAACCATTTCAATTTACCTACCTACAACATAGGCAAAACCAGCCTCTATTTTACTAAAAATATCATCTTAATCGCGCTTGTGTGTAATGTAAATGGTAGGATAAATGAGTAGTCTATTATCAAAGGTGGCAATCTGTGCATTTGGACAAAAAAAATTTATTGATATGTCAATACAGATTGATTTGAATATAATCGTCTCCTTCAAAGAATACGGTTCAAAACCTGCATTAAATAAAGGTTAATAGTTAACCTGTTATTTATCTAAGATGTCGTTCCGAAGAGTTTCGTGACTGCCAATGGAATACAAAGTCAATAATTCGTTTTTCTGATTTACCAATCATTGTCCAAAAGTCAGATTGCCGGCTTTGATAATAGTCGACTCAAATAATGAAGCTATTTTTAAGTTATATTTATTGACTTTCAAACTGAGGATCGGTTCAGTACTTGCCTCTGAAACGTTCGAGCATATATAAACAAAAACAAATAAACTAGCAAGAAATAAAATCGAGCAATCGAGGATTCAAACCATCCTGTATATTTGTGTTATTCTGCACACTGTTATTTTAAATGGCTTTACAAAAATACGCTAAAATTGCTCACTCACTCCTAAAGGCTTTGCTGCAGGTCCGGTCGGGGGAGGAGTGTACGCGGGCGCAGTTTCATTTTCAGCCCATACTAATAAAAAATACGTGAGTAAAACAAATAACACTTTCAAGCACTCTCGTTCCATTCTGTTTACTATTATAATGTGTACAAAATATATTCTTTAAATACAAATCTAGGACATTTGAGTGACTAAAACCATAAAATGAGCGTATTGTTTTCAAAGCTAAAGAATTTATTTGTTGAATGAACATTGAAGGTCACCTAAACAATACAATTAGGTCGTAATTTCCATGAATACTTCTTTTTAGTAAATAAAACTGCTTTTAAATTCCAGGAGACCGTTTGTTTCATGTTCAAACACCGACCATCGCCTAATAGGTAGGACGACAGTATGCGATTGTGCTGTATTTGGGTCCTTAAATTAGCATCAATTTTTAGTCTTAGGTTTAAGATTTATAGAATATATAATTCTTGGTATTATAATAAATATAGGAGATATTTTAATTTAAAAGCATAGTTTATAAAAAATAATAATTTTGGAGAATATTGATCGAGTTTTCTTTTTCATTGAAGTCTTAAAAGAAAAATTCTAATTTTTTATTTACAAGAGCAATGTTTTATTTTGAGTATTATATTATAGGTATTATATATATTTTTGTCAGGTAACCAAAAGAGCTTGGTGAACTTTAGTGCGCTTAAAATTTATTTTTAAGATTCACGTTTGGGCTACGGGAATATGAGCCCTTATTTGATTTTGTTCTCAAATCAACTAGTGCCTATTCTCTTCCTCCAAATACTTATCTCTGACGTATGTTAATGTGCTATGTGATGTTTTAAAAGTGCTTTAGACTAAGTATGCACCGTAGCGAAATCTCTGAGATTTTTTTTTATATGATCACAACCCAGCGCGGATGAGAAGTTCGCCCTCATTAAATGGAACCGCTGCGTTGATCGACATGTCCTATCGGATGCTCCCGATCCACTCGATGCTTTTAGGTACTGCAAGCACCGATCACGGTTCTCGTCGAACCCGATAGAAATATCGCTCTACAAAACCAAAATTAACCGATTGACCATTTCCAAAGGTCGATCTGCAATGATTTTATTACAAGATATTATTATTCCTTCGACATGAAAATCATTCACGAACGTGAGTTAAGAATGCATTTTATTAGAAAATTTGGTATTTGCATACAGGATTCGAGCATCGACATAGTTGCATCGTTCGATATGCGAACACAGGGTATTTTATCTTTTAGGCCATAATGCCTTTAACACGTTGAACGGTAGACTAGAAACCACGCTTAGCCCAGTGGGCCAGGATGGTCACATTTGACCGCCAATAAGTCGGGTCCAGATGGCCGCGACAGACCCTGTGTCTGCCATTCTGCCTCTCGGAAAATAATGAGTAGACACTGTTTCCGTAAGCTGCCCATTATTTTTGAGATATTTCTTGATAATATTTGCGAAAAAACACCTGAATGTTTTTTTACGATTCTTGATATATTGGTTCGGCCCTGGGGAAAAGTATGCTGTGGACACATGGTATCCGTCATGACCTTCAACTTGTTAAGGTCGACTGTACTGGTGAGGCGTATAATTGTAAAGCCGCGCGAACTTATTTCTGGCATTCACGTTGTAATGTCTATGGGTTCAAGGAATCACAGAATTGCAAGTCAGGATATTACTTAAAAAAACATGAAATCTGGGGCTATCGGTGACACACCCCATCATGGATCACGTTGTCCACTTTTAAACATAAATTTGAAATTTCTATTGGATTAGAACTACAGCTATCTTACCCTGCAAACAGGTTTGCAAATTGGGTGGTATTATATACTTGCGTGGGTTGTTAGCCCTTACAATCATTATCATTTCATTCACATCAATTTGACAATCATTATCATTATTACAGCCATATTTGTGAGAGCGATTGAGGATTTGGGATTAAAATAGGAGAATCATGTGACAATAAACAAGGTTCTTGTCAAATGATACGCATAAATTAATTAATAATCTTTTGTTTTTTGATATAATAATTTTAAGGATTATCAATTAATTAAATAAAACATTTCATTTATAACAATATTTATTATAATATAGTGCACCAATTAGAAATTAAACAAAAAATATATTAAAATATCTATAGGTAGACAATACAAATACAGTATTTTTTAAGATCAGTCTAATTAAATAATTATAATACAGGTAGTCGAACTCAAAGTTCATCTAACGTTAGCTATTAGCTGAAAGCTTATAATGTAGGTACAATCGTCCTGTCCCTTTTTGCCGAAAAACAGCTTATATGTATAGGTCTTCCGATTTCAAATGCAATTTAAATTTGGATTACTAGATATTAGTCGTTAACGTAGTAGTAATAAGTCTCATAATCAACCTTATCTGCCAATGCCAGCGGGCATCGCGTCATGGTGCCTATGGTTTTCTGTTCTGATTTATATTACTTATGCGAACCGTGAACACGTCTAAATGAAAACTTCACTTATAATAAAAATACAGTAGATTTTCTTGATATTAGCCAAATACATTTGCTTTCAATTAGTCTCGATTCATGGCTAAGTTTGATTATGTTATTTAGTAGGTATCCAAAATAGACCAAATAATCGTAGTTAAATTTCACTTAATCGACTCCGTACGAATAGTGTGATACATATGTACAAATTTACTGAACAGTTTTTACCCAAAAGCATATATTGTATAGGATTAAATTTGAAAATTAAAAAATAATAATGAAATGAACATTATTGCATTTTCCGAATGGCTATTATTTATAAATTCACACCATTTACAAAATCCCTTTCAATATAATTTAAATTTCTGTGAACATTATTAAAACTACTTAATGTACATTTGGAATAAATATTTTTTTCAATATTACCAGAATTTTCGGAATATATCTTCAAGTGTATCTCCACTCTGAAATTCAAAAGAATATTATGATGAAAATCTAAAATGTGTAAAAAAATTATAAAACCGTCAGTGTATATTACCTTTTTACAAGCAACGGACATGGCCAGAGGTATACCGGAAAATATTCCTAAGAAATCTCGGATGATCTGCAACATAGTAATTTTTACTTTAGCAATGAATTTATTTATTGTTTGAATTTATTCCCATTTTTTATGATTCGTTTCATTGTTTTTTATTAGTCGATTTGAAATGATGATATTTTTTATTGTCAGATAAAACAATATAACAATCGAATTATGAATTCGCTTCCCCTGTTTGTGACAACTGTTTAATAAGAATGATTAAACACGAAAACAAAATGGCAGAATCAAATTCATTATTTACTTAAACATTGTGATGTTATTCTTAATTTAAAATATTAGTGTTCTTAATTTGGTTACTAAAAAAATATTTTTAACTTACTCCTCTAGAAGGTGGTGCTGCGGTCGTAGGTGCCATGGTTGTGGTAGTGGCATTCCCATCTGTGGCATTGTCAGCTCCGAGCACTAATCCTATTACCAATACTAACACCAATAAGACTCTCAAGTATCTGGGTGCCATTGTCTCACTGCGTACTGTTTGAATGCCGAGCCATACTTATATACGCGGGCTCTTGAAAAGCAAATCCGATATATTGTTCGTGGAACTCATCGACAAACGTCACATTATTATTAATGAGATGTTAATTTGATCATCTGAGACGAAATATTGTCATACTCACAATTTCTTTTGTGTCCGAAAGCGCAAGGCTCACTGACGAAACATTCACTCTGAGGACGTTGACTGAAACGTTTGAAACACAAACAAACAAATAATGTCACACATGTTTTGCGCAGACACGTTTTTGTATTTGTTTAACTGTAAACTTCTAGAAAAAAATTTAAATAATTCGTACAAGAACAGCTTTGCGCAGTAAATACTACAGAGCAAAAATAGGAAATGCGTAATATAAACTAGAAAAGTCTTTTCCCGTACCACGTTTGGGTATTGCGACTGGGAAATTGAATCTTCACCTGATGTAAATAATTATCATGGTGTACCATCTAAGATGCGTTGTGCGCTCAATTGCATACATACTTCTTTTGCCTCAACAAGCAGGCGAATATACAGCCCTTGTTGGTAAGCGGTACCTAAATTGCACTGCTCGCTTCGGCTCTCGGAGCAGTTGCTACGTATATAATGGGTATTCGAATAAAGCATTTGACACGAAATTTATAAGACATATTTACTGTCGGTATGTCAAATATTGACTCCACTCCACTTTTGCTACAATACAATCATGTGATCTCATTTAAATGATGGGAACAGGCATTTTGCATTACAATTGAGACTTCGATGTCATGTCTCAAGATGAGTAGCGGAACCTATGGTGAAATGAATGAGCTACGGTCAAGCCATCTGGGCTATGGCCTCGTCTGCCCATCTACAGGAATGAAAGAACTGCTACTATAAATTGTTACGCCGAGCCTTCCGTACCTAGAGTCATCTATAGTATACAGCCCACTAAAACATAGCACAATAACGTTATCTATTAGGAGGAAAAATATAGAGCGATCGAGATGCTACCAGAAATCGTATTGACTAAGGAGCGTTCAGGAAGGCTTAACTACATTTCAGAACCTTGCGTGTGACACACATTTAAGCGGGAATGAGCGAGGCAATTGAACCCTTCAAACAAACAAGCGATCCAAAATTAAGTATTATTATTTGTTTATTTTTTATTGCAGTTTATACATATATTGTTTATAGATGCCTGGATAGATGCCTGCTCACGGCTCACCTGGAATTAAGTGGTTACTGGAGCCCATGGACTTCAACAACATAAGAAAAATAGGCAGGAAGTTGGTACCTACCCATCTGGACTCACCGTACGTATTATTTTTTCTTATTTCATTCGATGATTGGTACCCGCCTGCGGGATTCGAACGCCGAAGCAGTTGCATCGCGAGCGCGAGCATCGGGTCGCGATTTTAATCCGGTGGTAAATTCTGCAAATAACTGCTCTTGCTAGGGCTGGCGTTAGCAAGTTGTCTCAGAGTGAGCCCGTCGCCTATCCGTCCAGGCATAGCGAGAATAGCCTCTTAAGCTACCAATGAATATTTAAGGAATATATAAAAGCCGTCTTATCTCTTAGGCCACGATGACTTCAAAAACTGTTATTGACTATTACTGAGGATTAAAATTTGTGTGAAACATAAAGAAGTTGTGGCGGGTAGCCATCATAAAAAAAGGGTAGCCATCATACAACGCAAGATATTTGACAGATGCCTGAATCTCGCTTACGACATTTTCAAAATAAGCTTGGATTTATACCAGTTCCGAACAACAACATTTGGACCGTCGGTCTACCGAGCAATATCACCCGCTCGGTGGAAGATCTATCCTTCGTCGTTATATCTCTCCACAAAGTTAATGATAATGAAAGGATTATCAGAGCGTTTTAGGGTGAATTAATGCTTTATCACCTCTAAATATTGACTTTTAGTTTCTACAACTAACAATATCAATATCTTTGATCAAATAATAATCAATAATTTTATACGGAACCTTAGCTGGTGGTAACAAAGCAAACAATTCCGTTTGAAACAAATATAATAATTTTACATTAGCTTTATATGTGGCGATATTGTAAAAATGTATGAATACGAGTTGATAAGAGCTCACTTTATAAAGTCCTTTTGATGGTATTGTCAACCGGCACTTTACTGAAAAGCCAGTAAAGATTGATAGGTACTTCCGCTACCCCGCTTCGGTTTCCTTGAAAAGACATAAGGGCCTCTCGACCCTTTTATCCTACAATGAAATGATTTTAATATCGTTAACATTAAAATAGATTCACGTTCATTTTAAAAAAGATAACGGGTTGCCAAGGCGTGAAGACGGATTCTGAAAAATAGTACGGTTGTCATGCGACAACCATATACTTCTCTAACACCGAGAATTAGGACTAGTTTTGGAGTTTTCGTCGTGGCCTAAACTTTAGGCCCTAAAGGATGAGACGTCTAGTGCATTCGTATCTAGCGATGCAACGGTGTTCGAATCCCACAGGCTAGGCGGGTACCAATTTTTCTAATGAAATACCTACTTAATAATTGTTCACGATTGACTTCCACGATGAAGGAATAACATCGTGTAATAAAAATCAAACCCACAAAATTATAATTTGCGTAATGACTGTTGGTAGGACTTCTTATGAGTCCGCATGGGTAGGTACCATCACCCTGCCTATTTCTGCCGTGAAGCAGTAATACTCTTCGGTTTGAAGGGTGGGGCAGCCATTGTTACTATACTTAGTCCTTTCTTACATTGTAGATGTCTATGGGCTCCGGTAACCACTTAACGCCAGGTGGGCTGCGAGCTCGTCCACCAATTTAGGCAATAAAAAAGTTTTAATGAGTCATTCAAGATTTAATTAACCCTGCATACATGCAATCGACATGATGTATTCGGAATAAAACCCTCAGCTGTAAAAAGTGCACCGTTCGTTAGTAAAAACTGGGCTGCCAGATTTCGTTATATAATTCGGCATTAAATAAGATTGTAATAGGGCCTGTATTTTTTTAGTACTTTCAATATGCAAATTAGCTTACGGTAATCCTATATTACCGACTGCCGATGGAGCAGACGCTTTCTAGACTGGAAACCTCGTACCGGTGAGCGCATCGTTAGGCGTCGCCCAGCCCGGTGGACCGATGACTTGCGGCGATATGTTGGAAACGATTGGATGCGGATGGCGGAGGACCGTTCATTGCGGCGGACTATGGGACAGGCCTACGTCTAGCAGATGATGATGATTATGAATCTTATATTAAGTAGCCAAACCGATACATATTACAAAGCTAATACCATTTGGAGACACGAGATTCAAGTCTCAATCTTTTTTTATGTAATGGTTATTCCGAACTTCAATCTGGAACGTATGATTGCTTCGCGGTAGCAATAGGCAAATAAAACTCATCCATACGAACTGCCGGTAAAATATCCGTGTGTCACTATTTACATGACTCAAATGACAGACACTAAAACAAGATACTTAAAAGAAATTAATCTAATAGCCTATTACAATAAAACGTAACAAAAAAAATTACACATTAACATAATTTACAATCGACTGACTTATTGGGTGTTCTTCCGTAACTAACATAATTCCAGTTAATCGAAACATAAACACTTCGACAATCCTCTTAACAATTCGTATAAGTTCGGATAATTTATAATTGGCATATTTTCGCTCAGTACTTTGCAACCGGAAGCGGCGACATCATTACCACAGTTACTAACTACATGAATTATGCATCTAAGCTAAAATATAGAAAATATTGAAATTTTGATTACAAATTGGTTAATTTTGAGAACTTACCTATTCTCTCCACGTTATTGTTTGTAAAGCTCCGTAATTTGGGTAAGCTGGAGTGCACTATTGAAACAGATACTAATATGTATATTTTATATTTAATATTTGTAAGTCTTCGTGTACCTAATTACTTTTAAGTATTGTATTATAAATATACATACAGTATTTACTGCTCTATGATATTTTTTGTATTGAGAATATCAGAGCGCTTTATTTAAATAACTTTATTTCTTCTATTCGTGTAATCACTAATATGATAACTTCACCGTGATTACTAGATGGGGTACAATTATTCGTATCAGGATTCGCTTCGCTTCGCTTTGCCTATAATGTTTCTTCTGTTTGTTAGATGAAACTGGCAAGGAAATATTCCGGGTTAGGGTTTGATACCGGATGGCACCGGCCAGTATTCTGTTAAACTTTGCTGAAGAGATTATTCACTTCCTCCAGCCAGAGAATAATACCTTTTGTCATCGCTGGATCCACCCGCAAGCCATCCCGAGGACTTTATCATGTTACTTTAGTTAGATCCGGGAGTGACTAAATTTTAAAGGACCTTACATTCTGAGGACTACTAAGTAAAAATACGGGCTTCTTTAGTTTCAATCAATTTTTATTTTTTAAATAACTTCATACATATTTACTTTCTTATAATTATCGTAGTTTATTTTATAATCAAAAAATCCCTATTAGATCTACTGAACCGAGTTCACAAGGTAACAGCTTTTTATGGTGCCCATGCACAACCCCAGAAGTACGCTACAAGCGAAAATCCTAATAATTATTGTGGCTGTACTAGCTCCCAGGCCACCTGGTGTTAAGTGGTTACTGGAGCCCATAGACATATACGACGTAAATGCACCACCAGATATAAGCTCTAAGGTCTCAAGTATAGTTACAGCGGCTGCCCCACCCTTCAAACCGAAACGCATTACTGCTTCACGGCAGAAATAGGCAGGGTGGTGATACCTACCCGCGCGGACTCACAAGAGGTTCTACCACCAGTATATATGCAACTCAGAACACAAAAACATTGGCAAAAATTTTCGGCAGTGATTTTTTTTATTTCACAATGTCCCGTATTCAACCTCCATTACTGACTAGGTACCTATTTGTCCTCGTTTACCGGATACAGCTGTAAATGTAGACTCTTAAAAATAACTTTTGTTATAACGATTGTCAGTGGCGGTCTAAAAGTACTACAAAACTATTCTCAAAGATAGCATTGTATGATCCGAACTTACAGCATTCTCGAATAGCAATGAAATTGAATTATCAGATTTCGGGTAAAAACAGAAGTGAAACGCCTTTCAATGTTTTTTCAGCTACACCTGCAGAGTAAACACAATATTGAATTATATTATATGCGTACTTTTATATGGAATCCAAGTCACACTGACTAAATTAGCTAAGTGAAAATAAAACGTAATCTCTGTTTTAATATTGTCACAATTTGTTAAAGCATCTGCTTTATTATATCATCAAGTATAAAACAATCATTTTTCATTGATTATAAAAAAAATATAGAATTGTTCGTTTTTTAGCTTTCATTTTGTAAC